AGGCCTCAATAGAAAAAAATGATAAAGGAAAAGAGGCTTAAATATGTACACATATGTGTATATTATACATTTGGTAGGGCGTGTTCGAAAAAAAAAAAAGGAAAAGGATTTCAAAAAGGCCATGAAAAAGATTTTGAAATGCATTCACTTGCATAGCTGCAAAACATGCATGAATAACTTATTAAGTAATAACTTACCCAGTTCTTATGATGTAGGGGTGAAGAATAAATAATAATTGCCATGTTCATGTTAGAGTTGGTTATTGAAGGAACTCTCCCATTGATCCATAAGGTGTATCTTACTTATGGCTACAAGTTAGACTTATTACACGTGGTCATGTTGTTGACCTTCGGCATTCTATTATATGTACTTGGTATCAATTAGATAGATTTATTCTATTCTTCGAGAAGAAGAATTTAACAAAACTAAAAGGAAACTGATCAAGTTATTTTAGTCTAGACTATTGAAATAAAATGTTAAAATAAAAAAATTAATAATGGATTTTCACTAAAATTTGTAAATAAAGCTAGGCCTAGTAACTATTTAATAGACTTCCATAGTAAAAACCACAATTAATAATACAATAAGAAGGATAATGCCTCGTGTCTTGCATTTATTACAAGGTACAATAGTAATATCTTCAACCTATTTAGATCCTAGGTCGGAGGTGCTATAGGGTGGTAAAGCATTATTTTACCAATGGATGAAAGGATGACATAATTAAGGTACACGAGAGCGGTATGGGCTAGTTGAATCACAACCACCATAGCGAGTTGAAGTGGTGGAGCGCTTTCAAAAGTTTAATCCAAAGGAATTTAAGGGTAGTCCAAATCCTACCATTACATAATCAAATCTATAAAAGTTATTTTTGAGCACTTAGCTATAAATGATGTAGATCATATAGCATGTGCGACCTTCATGTTGGTTGGTAATGCTCGAAATTAGTGAGAATCGATGAAAGTTTCACTTAACGTGCTATGACTTAATTGGAATCAATGTAAAGGGGTATTTAATGAGAAGTATTTTTTGAATATGATGAAGTCTCGAATCGATGATGGATTATGTTCATAGATTTGAGCATGGTTGCTCGCTTTGTTATTTTTATTTTCAAAAAGAGGCATTTAAAAAGGAGCATTTGCTCTATGGATCGAAGGCAAAGATTAGAAGTTTAGTTCGAGTGTCCGTAAATACTTATATGGATATGGCAAGAAAAACACTTAAAATTGAGACTGATCAAAAGGAATAGACACAAGTACTAGGAGGTAAATGAGGAATGTGAATTGATATAAAGCGAGAAAATATTGATTGTATTATCGTACCTCTACCGGTATTACAACTTACATATATATAGCTACATATAGCATCTAAACTAAGAAATTAAAGCTATAAATCTTCCTAAACTCCTTGATTATAGCCTTAAATTTCTATATTTACATCCTAAAATACACCTAGAATATTCTAAATAGAATATTTCATAGTTCAACACTCCCCGTCAAGCTGGCTTGCAAATGTCTTTCATTGCCATCTTGCTTACTATAAAATCAAATTATTTTTTCAATAGACCTTTGGTGAGCATATCGACCACTTATTGAGAAGTAAGAATATAAGGAATACAAATTAGCCCACTTTTAAGTTTCTCCTTGATAAAGTGCCTATCAACTTTAATATGTTTAGTTCGATCATGAAGAATCGGATTATGAGCAATTGAAATAGAAGCTTTATTATCATAATAAATTTTCATAGGAAGTGATGCGGGAAGCTTCAAATCTTCAAGCAATTTCTTAATCCACATAGCTTCACAAATCCCTTGTGCAAGGGATCTAAATTTTGCTTTAGCACTACTTCATGCCACAACAATTTGCTTCTTGATTCTCGTAAGTAACTAAATTTCCTCCCATAAATGTATAATATCTAGATGTTGATCGCATGTCCGTCACACTACCGACCCAGTTAGCATCCGTATAGACTTCAACCCGAAAGTGATCACGCTTTTTAAATATCAAATCCTTTCCTAGAGTCCCTTTTAGGTACTTTAGTATCCTATAGATAACTTCAAAATGCTCATGGCTCGGTGTATGCATGAATTGGCTTATTTTGCTTACCGCTAATGCTATATCGGGGCGAGTGTGTGACGGATATATAAGTCTACCCACCAAGCGCTGAAATTTCTTATTTTCAATCACATCCTCGATTTTAGTAGGATTTAGTTTGAGATTTACCTCAATTGGAGTCTCGAGAGCCTTGCAACTTAGAAGATCGGTTTCATTTAGTAAATCAAGGACATATTTCCTTTGATTTACAAAGATTTTTTCACGCGATCTTGCAAATTCCATACCAAGAAAATATTTCAATGTTCCTAGGTCTTTAATCTCAAAGTCTTCAGCTAGTCTCTTTTTCAATCTTGCTAATTCATCAAAATCATCACCCGTTAGTATCATGTCATCAACATATACAATGAGGATTGCTATCTTCCCTTTATCGGTGTGTTTATAAAAAAGAGTATGATCCGCCCGACTTTGATGATACCCATATCCTTTTAAAGTTTTCCCAAAACATTCAAACCATGCCCTTGGAGACTCGTTTGAGGCCATACAATGACTTCTTAAGTCTGTAAAATTTGTTTCGATCAATAAACTCTTTAAAACCAGGAGGTGAACTCATAAAGACTTCCTCTTCCAAATCACCATTCGAGAAAGCATTTTTCACATCTAGTTGGTATAAGACCCAATTGAAATGAACTGCAAGAGATAATAAAACACGTATAGAGTTAATTTTTGCTATTAGGGCAAAGGTTTCATAATAATCAACACTATATGTTTGAGTAAATCTCATAACCACAAGTCTAGCTTTGTATCTCTCTATACTACCATCTATCTTACATTTTATAGTAAATACACATTTACACCTAACCGTTTTCTGACCTCTAAGCAGCTCTATAATTTCCCATGTTCTATTTTTCTTTAGTGCATTTATTTTCTCCATCACAAATTGTTCTCCAATTTGGATCATCAATTGCTTCCCGAATGTTTCTTGAAAACAACAAGCTAGAGATTTTAAAAGTAAATGCCTTATGGTTTTGAGAGAGATGGTCATAAGATAGATATTTTACAATTAGGATGATTAGTGCAAGAACGAGTTCCTTTTCTAAGTGCAATAGGAACATCAAGATCACAATATTCATGAGAAACGAGCATTGGGTAAAACAAGAGGTGAAACAACATTAGGTAAAATAGGAGGCTGAAATAGGAGGATTAGTATTTTGAGAAGTGTTTTGAGTACCTCCATCCGAGATAATGGATTGACTAGGTGTTGAAGGAACGATAGGTTCTCTACTCTTTTGATGTTTCTTTCTCCTTGCATAAACAATGACCTCAAGTTCCCGATCCTTAGAAATATATTACGGTATTTCTCTCCCCGTCAAAGATTCAACAATGTATGGCAAAATAGTATTCTTATCAATAGCAATTGTTTTGTCATTTTCGAAAACACTAGGTGTAAAGGTCACTATTTGAGGTAACGTAGTAAAAATAGGTATGTTGTCCCAACTATTTTCTTCCATTAAACTCTCCCTTTAAAGAAAATTCTTTTGAAAATAAGGCTGATTTTCAAGAAATAAAACATCCATAAGTAACTAGGACTTTCCGGCTCTTTGGATGAAAACACTTGTACCCTTTTTGATTTGATGCATAGCTAATAAAAACATATTTTTTAGCTCTTGGATCAAACTTGGATCGATCCTTATTGGGTAAATGAACATAAGCTATGCATCAAAATATGTTTAAGTGGTAAATTGGATGAAATTCGATCTTTCAGGAAAGAAATTTTTAAAGCACTCGAGAGGAGTAATGGATTTAAGTACACGAGTAAGCATTCTGTTTATCAAATATGTTGTTGTTAAAACTGTTTCTCCCCATAGATACTTAGGGATATGCATAGAAAACATAAGAGATCGGGCAACTTCCAATAAGTGTCGATTTTTTCACTCGATTATACCATTTTGTTGAGGTGTATCAACACAAATAGATTAATTATGAATGCCCTTATCTTTAAAAAAAATTTCTAAGAATTTCATTGAAATACTTAGTACCATTATCAATATGAAAAATACTAATTTTAGTTTGAAATTGAGTTTCAATCATGTTATGAAATTTTTGGAACACTGTCTTAACTTCGATTAATCGACCAATAAATATACCTAACATAACCTAGTATGATCATTAACGAAGGTTATAAACCATTTTTTTGCTCGAATAAGTAGGGATCCATTAAGGACCCCATACATCACTATGAATTAAATAAAATGGTCATGAAGGTTGATAAGGTTTCGAAGGATAAATATTTTTATGGCTTTTTGACAAAATACAATGTTCACAAGTGAAAAAGAGAACTATCCATGCCATTAATTAAGGTAGGAAACAATTTTTTAAGATAAAGAAAATTAGGATGCCCTAGTCTATAGTGCCGAAGCATTATTTTATCTTTACCAAGGCTAGAACTGATACTACTTAGTCTTTGAGGTCTTTTATCCTAGGAGACTTCATCTTCAAAATAATAAAGACCATCGATCATTCTAGCATTGTCAATCTTTTTCCTCGAATTTTGATCCTAAAACACACAATAGGAATAAAAGAAAGTGACACTACAATTAGAATCTTTTGATAATTTGCTGACGGATAGAAGATTGTATGCAAGTTTTGATACATGCAGAATAAATTTAAGGGATAAAGTACTTAATAAAATAATCGAACCTTTTCCAAGCAATAAGTGAGTAAGACCCATCTGCTATACGAATTTTTTCATAACCCGAACAAGGAACATATATATGAAACAAATTTGAAAAACTTATCATAGGGTTAAATGCTCTAGAATCAATGATTCATGGAGCGGATTGTGATAGAGAGTAACACACTAATGCATTTAAATCACTACATATTTGTGCTAAAGAAGTATTAAGAATACCGGATAATCCAAGTATTGGATTTAAGTATGAAGTTCTCTACATCCCAAACTCGGATAGGTCGGATCATCCAAGTTTGGCTCATTCTTCTCACTAGTTGAATACCCAATCTTTCCCCTATCGCGAATGTATATGTGAACAAATTGAGACAAGCATAAGGAATCTTTGGTTTTGTAAGAAGTATATGGATGGACAAGAGTAGGTGTAGAATCCGATGTTCTTTCGGACATGGTAGTGAGGAAGAAAATAAATTAGAGTGTTTGACGGCTAGGGTTTTTTGTTTAGAGAAAATAGACCGACTCTAATATCATGTGAATTGATATGAAGTAAGAAATATTGATTGTATTGCCGTACCTCTACTAGTATTATAACTTACATATATATAGCTACATATAACATCTAAATTAAGAAATTACAAACTAGAAAATTAAAGTTATAAATCTTCCTAAACTCCTTGATTAGAGCCTTAAATTCCTATATTTACATCCTAAAATACACCTAGAATATTCTAAATAGAATATTTCCTATTCCAACAAGAAAATACTCTAAATAAGTTTGAAGGCCAGTCTAGTAAAAAAAGGCCATTTAATTAAAACTAACGTAAAGGTAATAAAAAAAGGAAAAGGACAAGTGAGGCCGCAAAAGACCGGAGAACGAGGCATACCAAATTGCACTAAATGTGATCATCCGTAAGCGAGAGATTATCTGATTGGAATGAATGTATACTACTTTTATTAAGAAGCAAGATATTTGGCTACCAACTATTCGAAGAGGAAAGTAGCTAAAGGGTAGTGAGTTCTTAGACGAGTGTAATAATGACACAAGAGGAGATGGACAAGGAGCATGCTACTGTTATATACGGTAATATACTAATCTCTAATCTTATTGTATATACATTTGTAGATTTAGGTGCCACATATTTATTTATTGCATGATCATTGTTAAGATGGTTAGCTTTGACACTTGAAGTGTTCAATATTATTATAAAATGGCACACCCATCCATGGAGTCATTAGAATCAACTACTATAATTAAGAAATGTGAGGTGAAAATTAGAGATCACTTTTTATATGTCGATCTCATAGTCTTCGGTATTCAAGACTTTAATATTATTTTTGGCATGGATTGCCTATCTAAAAAGGAAGCATCGATTGACTATTTAGCTAAGAAAGTGATATTTCATCGATTGGATGAGTAACCATTTAAGTTACAAGCTAGAACTAGGGTAAGACTCGTAAACATAATTTCATCAATGATAGCCTAAAAGGTGATAAAAAGGTGGATGTATGGGCTATCTAGTAAATATGATTGATACTAAAAAGAAGTGGAAGCCTAAAACTAGAAGAAATTAAGGTGGTTAAGGATTTTTTAAATATTTTTCTCAAAAGTTTATTGAGATTGCCTCCGAGGAGGGAGATTGGTTTTGAAATTGTACTAGAATCAAGGACAATGTCTATATCCAAGGCACCATAGTGAATGGCCCTATTAGAATTAAAAGAGCTTAAGGTGCCAATATTGGAGTTATTAGATAAAAGATACATTTGGTCCAATTGTTTGTTATGGGGAGCACCAATATTATTTATAAAGAACAAAGATAGACCACATAACTATGTATAGATTATCAAGATTTGAATCAAATGGCCATTAAGAATAAATATCCATTTTAAGTATTGATAATTTGTTTGATCAGCTTGAGGGAGTTTAGTGTTCTCCAAGATTGATCTTTAGCCAAGATATCATTAGTTAAGAATTAAAGAGAAGAATGTGAAAAAGATGGCATTTAGGACTCAACATAGGGATTATGAATTTTTAGTAATGCCATTCGGATTAACTATTACGCTAACGAGTATTCATGAATTTGATGAATAAGGTATTCCATGAATATCTAGATAAATTTATAATTGTATTTATTGATGATATCCGATATACTCAAGGATTAATGAGAAACATATAGAACATTTGAGAAAAGCATGAAAAACCTTACTGAGAGCACGAATTATATGCTAAACTTAAAAAATATGCATTTTGGCTCAAGCAAGTAGCATTTCTTGGATATGTTATATCCAAAGAAGGGATTATGTTAGATCCTAGTAAAATACGAGTATTGTAGGAATGAATACAATTGAAAAATGTGTCAAAAGTAAGACTTTTCTTGGGAATGACAAGCTATTATTAAAAATTTATGAAGGATTCTCTAGCATAGTGGCGCCTCTCACTCGATCGATAAGGAAAAGTACTATGTTCGAATGGGATGACAATGTGAAAGGAGTTTTTAAGAGCTAAAATATGGGCTAATTACGGCCCAGTATTTACTCTTTCAAAGGATGATGAAGATTTTGTAGTCTATATTGATGACTTTCTTGATTGGTTTAGGGGCAATCTTAAAGCAAGATGGAAGGGTGATTGCATATGTATCTCGAAAATTGAAGTATTATGAAAAGAATTACCCCACTTATGACATAGAATTGGTTGTTATTACCTTTGCCTTAAAAATTTGGAGGCATTATGTAACCCTCGTAAAATCCGTAACCGTATAAGTGTACGTATCAAGATATTTATATTCATATGTATATATATATATATATAGTGTATTGATTACGTACGTGAAAATTTGTAACTAGGTCAAAATATGTACTGGAATATGTGATATGTACGTATTTGTTGAGAGTAACTAGTGTACGTAAATATTTAGGCAGTAATAATTTTGAATGAATTAATTAGTAAATCCTTTATAAAGTGATAATTGTCGAAATTTTGAGAGGAATTCTAAAAATATAGTTAATTTAATTATCCTCATTTAATCACATTTTAGCCTCCACTTTCTACAAATTTCCATTGACCATAACCCTCCCTCCTTGAAATTTAAACGCATTCTTTCATTAATTTCAGCCACATTTACCATACATTTCACCGTAAGCTCTTGACACTTGTAATGAGCATTAAATGGGATAAGATTATATGAGATATTAAGTAAAGAAAATGGGATAATGATGCATTTTTTGGTACATCCCATAGCCTTCCTCAAAGCAAACAAAGAAAGAGTGAAAGAGAGGGGAGACAGAGAGAAAAACGGGAAGAAGAAGAAGGGGAAAAGAAAGGAAAAAGAAAGGGAAACTAAAAGGAAGCCAAAGAGATTTTAGGAAAGTTTAATCCAATGTAAGTAGGTTTCATTTTTTTTGCTTTGTTTATGCTTTCCATGTTTATTCTATGAGTTGTTTAATTCATGTAAAATATGATTATGGTATTTTGTGATGACTTTAAACACTTGATGTTTGATGATGGATGGTTATGCATGTGTGATAAGAGATGTGCTTTAAGAGAAGATTTCTGGATTTTAGGGGTGGAAAAAGCCAAACTTGGTGTGATTTATTTCGGGATCTTAGAGTGATTTTTAGGAAAAATACAAAGAATAAACATTGTTGATATATGTGTCTACTATATCTTTTTAAAATTTCGTGACTTTTAGAAATATATGTATATGGAGTTATGACTGACTTGGTATGGATTGTTCAAATGGACCACTTACTAGAAAAAAACAAATTTCATTTCGAAAGTTGTGTGATTTATTTTAGGTTCATAGAGTGGTTTCAGGCAGTAACTCAAATCAAGCAAAGTTGTTCATCTATGTGTCTACTAGATGTATATAAAATTTCGTGATTTTTAGATCTATATGTAAGGATTTATGATTGATTTTGATACGGATCATTTGAATGGACCACCTACTTGGAAAAAAATTATTTAGTTCCAAAACTTGTGTGATTTATTTAAGGATTTTAGAACGATTTTTGGAGGAAACTTAAAGAATAAAAGTTCTTGATCTGTGTGTCTACTATCTCTCCTTAAAATTTTATGATTTTTAGATATATATATTTAAGGAGTTATGGTCGATTTGGTATAGGTTGTTTAGGTGTACCACTGCTTGAAAAATTTTTAACCTAAAACAAATGGGCTTGGACCAAAACAAAAGGGGGTTTGGATTCCATTAAATGGAATTGAGTTAAAATGAGATGGGCTTAGATTTAAAAATAAAGTGGACTTAGATTAAAACAAATGGACTTGGGCTTGGATTAAAATAAATGGGCTTGGATTAATGTTAATGGCTGGACTTAAATAAAATAAACTTGGCAATGGACTTGGACTAAAATCAAAAGGCTTGGTTTTAAAGTAGATGGGCTTAGACTAATGGAAATGGGCTTAGACTAAAATAAGTGGACTTAGATAGAAATAAAAAGGATTTGAAAATTTTAAAGAAAATTTATTCTTTCGAAAGGAATAATAAAAAAAAAAGAATTGGACCTTCTTTTAATTATTAATAAAACTAATGAACAATATTAATGAGTGAAAGTTGTGTTCCCGCTATAAGTACCATGATTGGTATGTGAGTGCTGAGTGAATCCCGAGTGTTGGTTGGACCGTGAGTATGGTTTGAGAAAGAAGGGTTGGTACCCGAGTTTGGTTGAATGTGATTAAACATGTCATCACGTGCATCATGTGCATTGGGGGTGGAAATAAATTGAGAAAAATCATTGAGTCTTGAATTGACACGGTTTGGTAACCGAATTGAGTGGAATGGGTAATAACAAAGAATCCATAGTGGGAGCTCTATTTACTAACACCGTTAAGTGAGGGATAATTCCGCTAACCGTGTGCTACAACGAGGGATAATTTCGTTATGAGCGAGTAGGTGATATTGAGATCACCGAGAGAAAGTAATAGAGCAGTAGGTGATAACATGATCATCGAGAGATTGGGTGCACGGACTTGCATATACCTAGGATATCCGGATTAAAATGGATGAAAATGTGAGAAACACAATAGCATTGCATATCACGTGCATCACCCTACTTACCGAGCTTTGGCTCATTCCGTTATTGTATTTGTGTATTGTTCGAGCAAGAGTAAAGTTAAACCGATCGAGGATGCTACCGGTTCTCGCTAAAAGAGGCTCATGTGTCACTCATAAAAATAGGAATATCTTTTGTGTCATTAAAAAGGGGTACGGGCCTAGTTTGTAAATTTTTAGGCATTTTGAATATTTTATAAATTATAGAACTATCCGTAATAATGTTGTAAATTATATCATACGTTTCCCACGGTTTAGTTTTTGTTGTGTATGATGGAGGAAGTAGGGGACTTAGTCCCAACAGTGTGTCGCGTCGGTCACGCTTGTTAGGTAATAGGCAAGGGAGCTAGGGGCGTCACACATTACTTGTATAATTTTTGATGTAAT